AGTCGGTGAATATGTGGCTGCGGAAGGCAATGTGCGAGGGAGTAGGGAGTGCGCCGGGGCGATAAAACCGGCGGCCGTCTGCTTATCCATGTAAGAGCAGAACAAAGCGGTTTCGTTCCAAGAAACGATGAATATAGAGGGACAGGGGTCTCAGCGTGATTATGTGGCAGTCACGGTCTAACACAACGAAGAACATGTGTGAAAAATGGTCGGAGTCGTGGTGTGTGCGAGTTTAGCGTGGATTCGGAGTCGGAATCTGGGTAGTGGACGATGTATTACTGAGTTGAAAAGGTTGAACGCCTTTACATGGTAAATCCTCTACATCATATATCCTAGCGGGAAGAATGAGCTAGCGCCCAAATGGGGCAAAGCTCTGAATGCTACCCTAAAGGGTAACTCTCCCGAGTCCTCCAAAAAAAGTGGGAGAGTACCGTACCTCGAGGCACGATCATAGAAGCCACGGCGTTTCGGCATCTACAGTAATGACGGGCGTCTGCGAGTGTGGTGTGAAGACACGGAAAGTAAAGCCAAACGCCGGCGTGCAGTCCAGTGCTCGGGTTCCGCAGTAAGCAAGGGAACAGAGTTTGAGAGTAGCAGGTAGTCTGAGGGGCAGATTTTGTTAGTGTAAACCTGTTTGTGGTACTGTCAAACCAGGAGAATATGTATGTGAACAAAGTTCTGTCACGTACGAGGAACATATCATATGGTGAGCATGCTGAGGTACCATCGACGAGAAGTCTTGCTCAGATTTGACGGCGTCCCGGCGCTTCCCTTCTATGGGTTATTGACGGGCGTATAGGATAAAGTGTGTGAACAGTGTACTGTGAGAGGTTCAAGACGCTGCCCAAATTAGGCATTCTGGTGAACAGCGCGGGAGATCATATTTTGAAATAGTGCACTGAATTCTTGAAATATAGCGATGTGTCATGGAGCTCTTCATAATGATAGATACCTGAATTGAAAGAAATATGCACGTTTGTAGCTAACATGGCACGTCATAGAGGCGACGGTGGCGTATGACATGAGGACGTCGCAAGCTGCGCAGCGGTAAGCGAGATGGACGCGAGCGTGGCGTGAATTGGCGACGTAAGCCAGTTGTATTATGGAGTGTCCGCCAGAATCCGGAACGTGGTGACAGGTAGATATAAAAAGGTGGCGGCCGTCCGGAATGGCGTCAAGGTTGGGCCGCACAATTTGGGCACGACAGTGACAGGTTGTTGGACATTTAGGAGCAATATGAGTGTGTTGCCAGCAGAATAAGAAGCTGATGAACAAGTACTAGTCTTGAATAGAATAAGTCCTATTACAAGCAGCAGCATGAATGGTATCGCTGAGTGCAGAACCATGGCGACGTCAAAGCGAACCGTTGGTTTGAGTTTGGGTCGAATAAGCCGATCATATGGATGTGATCAATTTACCAAATTGGGAATAATTGTGATTCATCAGGCAGTGGTTCTTTCAAGTCTGCCTTTGGACGTCGGCTGCTCCTTGCCTCTCCCCCCCACCAGCACCACCACCTCTCCTCCTCCCCCTCGTCCGCCATCGTCCCGCTGGACGTTCCTGGGGACATCGACGACGATCACTAGCTATACGGGGCAACGATGGGAGGCTGCCTATCAACGCCGGACCGTGCGGGGAAGGAGCGTTCAGATGCCATCGACAAGCAGCTAGAGGAGGACAACAAAAAGTTCAAAAAGGAATGCAAGATTCTTCTCCTTGGTATGTCTTCGTTCGTTCATCCTCCGGCGATCCATTGGCCACGCTGCAATCTCTTTTATGATTTTATCTCACCTATTGTTCAGGCTCCGGCGAGTCGGGGAAATCAACGATCGTCAAACAAATGAAGATTATCCATCAGGGCGGATACAGGGAATTCGAACTCATGGAGGTTCGACCGACTATATACAAGAACGTTCTCGACTCAGCCCAGGCGGTTGTCACCTACATGCGCAAACTCGGCCTCGACTGCGCCGAACTACCCAACCGTATACTTGCCGACCGCATTCTCGCGTATCGGTTCGATCTCCAAGGCGAATTCGACCCAGCCGTTGCGAGCGCAATACACCAAGTCTGGAAGGACCCCGTGATTCCAAAAGTAATGGACGAGCACTTGAGCGATTTCTATCTTATGGATTCGGCGTCATAGTACGTATTTCTTATCTTCTACTCCTATCACCCTTTGAATAACACTATTTTTACAGCTTCTTTGGCGAAGTTCTACGGATAGGCACACCAGGGTACTGCCCGAACACAACGGACGTCCTCCGCGCGCGTCAGAAGAGCTTGGGTATCGTCGAGACGCGGTTTACTGTCGGTCAACTTTCGTAGGTTTATGCTTACTTTTTCCTTCTCGCCCGCTCAAACCCCACTCCAGAATACACATGTTCGACGTCGGCGGCCAGCGGTCCGAACGCAAAAAGTGGATACACTGCTTCGAGAGTGTGACCAGTATCATCTTCTGTACCGCACTCTCCGAGTACGATCAGGTTCTTCTCGAGGAGAAAACACAGGTACGTGTCTTCCCTCTCTTTCGCCTTTTTCCAGCTCATATTCATGCCTATCTAGAACCGAATGCAGGAATCACTTGTCCTCTTCGAATCCGTTATCAACTCTCGATGGTTCCTCCGCACATCCATCATCCTCTTCCTCAACAAAATTGACGTCTTCAAGAGCAAACTCCCAAAGATACCCCTAGAACGTTATTTTCCCGAATACACCGGCGGTGCCGACATCAACAAGGCGGCCAAGTACGTCTTGTGGAGGTTTATGAACGTGAACCGAGCCCGGTTGAGCGTGTATCCCCAGTTCGCTGCCTCTTTTCTTTGTTCGAATAACACTTTTCTCATTTGATCCTTCGCGACTCCTTCGCGACTTGTAGTCTAACGCAGGCGACGGATACCCAGAATATCCGACTCGTGTTCGCCGCTGTCAAGGAGACTATTCTCCAGAACGCACTCAAGGATTCGGGCATTCTATAGCAATTGGCCCGTCTCGTCTCGTCTTATCTTCACTTTCAAGCTGTGCGAACTGGTGAGGATCCTGTTTTCTTTGTTCTCGTTCTCGTTTTTTTTTTCCGATCTGGTTTATCGTTATTTTTATTGCGCTGGCTTCGCTCCATCCTTCCTTCTTGATCACCGTTTTCATCATCTCTACATTTGTACAATACCCTCATTAGCATTGATGTTATCACGCCCGTGTCCACCACCTATTATCACGATCATTACAATCACCTCAATCTGTCATTTTACCCACCTCCTACCCTGTCATCTCTCATTTTCTTTTTCATCTCCACGGCCTAATATCTCCTACTTACCTACCCATATCTCACGACGAACAAATCCCGATCCGTGATCCACACGGATTGTTCATCATTTATCTTTTTTTTCTCGGGTTGCCCGGTCTCGCGCTCCTCGATTCCCGATGTCGCATTTCTCCCAAACTCAGCCAACGGACGAGACAATGGCGAATGACATGAGAGTTCGTCGCCGTGCGAGACGCAGCCCTCTCCACTTCGCACACGGTGTCGGCTGATTCCGTGGCTGTGGTGATACGAGGGCGCGTTTGACAGATCGGCCTCTGCCTGCGTGTACGTGGGGATCGTTGCCTGCGGCCGCGCCACCCCTCGTTCTCCTTTACCCCTCTCCCCCCCCTCTCCTCTTTTATCCTTCTGGTTCCATGATTTCTCCTTTTGATCTTCGAGTTCTTTCGTATTGTCCCCGTGTGGCGGTGTGACGATCTGTCATTTTGACCGTGGTTTTGGTTTCTTGTTCAACTCTTGCCTTTTCCTCCTGTTTCTTCTTTAGTTTGTTTCGACATACGCTGACCCATGTGACTTCTCCCCTCTAGATCCTCCAAGCTCGCCCTTGATCTTTCAATCTCTTCATCTTGTCTCTTCATCTTGTCTTGTTTGCATTATCATCACGCCGACACCCCTCACACCACCCTCATCAAGCACCATCTATCATCACTTTTCTACCAAGAACACAATCACAATTCATTTACGCTCGCCGATCTTTCTCATCTTGTCAACGTTGATCTCAACTACGATCTTTCTGATCGATTTTTTTTCATTTTCTCATCTTGCATCGTGATAGTGATTTTCGGGACAGTCGCTAGTCACACTTCGTACCGCCTCCGCCCACCGCCCACGGCCTGTGAAAATCTTGAATGCCCTTGGTTTCCGCTCGCTGGGTTCCTAGTTTACCCCCGCCGTGCAAGGCTGAGTATCATACCATCGCGCCGACTCCTTGGCTTCCGTCACCCTCCGTCGGGATATCAGGGCGCATCGACGTTCTCATTCGTAGCGCCTCGCGTCGTTCGTCATATCCCCGCCGCGGCGTCATAGGTCGTCCTTCTGGTACCTGATCGTCGTCTATTGCGAACCCTTGTCTACCGATGCTTATCCATCCATGCATACTATACCGCACGAACTTTTTCATGATTTTGAACGTATACCTATATCTACTTGGCACTACAAATCTGTACCATACATATTTTTCTGTTTTTTGATTCTTTCTCCTCTGTCATCGCGTTTGGGGCTTGAAGAGAGTAGTTGTACGTATTTCACGTAATTGAAATGGAATTGCATACACTGTGTACATGGGTAGTAGGTACATTGCTACAATTGAATGCATTGAATCGACCTCACTCTCTGATCAAAGTCTACTTCATTATCGAACAAATTCCACCGCATGAAACACATCATCACAGTTCTTGTCACGTATTGGTAGGTAAATTTGCAAGTTCTCAGAGGGAATTTGTTGGAAATTCTGAAAATTAATTCTCGAAGATTCATGCACTGCTGTAATCCGTCCTGGAACTGGTCTGCAGGACAGACAATATTGTTGTTCAAGAGGCCAAGGGCCGGGTGTCATCATGTTGATGCTCACATGTACCTGTTCATACGAGCGGAGCGTACGGAGAACTGGGATAAGAAAAAGTAGCGGGACTATCGATCCATGGCGCAAAAGGAGAGGAACTCCTAACATGCACAACTGCACTGATGAGAGGGAGATTCGAACTCCCGCCCCCGAAGAGACCAGATATGAGGCACACACCACCTTAGTCTGGCGCCTTAGACCGCTCGGCCATCTCACCTTAACATAAAACTAGACTTGAAGGAGTATGAGAGAGGAGGGTACCGGTTGCGACCGACGAAGGAGCACTAGTGGTTTTTCGTGCGAGGAAAAGTCGACAAAGAGACCGTGACTACAAAGTAGAGTCGAACGGACAAAGTCAGTATCCAGATCGGCCTTGACCGTTCGGTGGTGAGGGCATCGGGGTCGACTAGACGGCAATTGATCAGAAAGCGAAAGGAGAAATTTATAAAGGTGCAGGTTTTTATTGTTTCTGAAGAAGGGTTTGCCCCTGATCCTATTTCAGAGCTTGGATCGTCAAGTGGGAGATAGAGAGAGGTTTTTGCATCTAAACCCCGTCATTTGGTGGATACATTTTTCAAATACTTATGTGGGGATGAGATATAGTCCGGTAGAACATTTGTACTTGTTCGAGAGTGACGTCCAATGCAATTTCCTAATTTCGTGGTACGGTTTAGATTCAGTGAATAGAGCTTGCACCCAGAGCAGAGAGTAAGACCTGTCACCAGCGAAGTGTAGACGATCTTCCCACCTATGACATAATAATCAAGATTGTCGAAAGAAACATTTATGAACTGAAGCAGAGAATTCTGCATCTCCGAGTCCGTCCTCAATGTCCGGAAGATGCGAATGGAGCGCAGATGAGGGAGGTTTATGGGATCAACAACGAGTCTCTTCTCGGAAACCAGAGCATGTGAGATTGCAGCAAAACCTGAGAGCATGCTAAACGACATCAAGACTGGAATAGGATATTAGTAAAGTGAGTTGGTCTATCTGCTACTCCATATGATGGCAGCCATGCTAGGAATCGGGGTACCAAAGACACCTATGCGCAAAGGTACTGAGAGGTGCCAGCTATGCTCGTTCTAGAAGTCAAGATGCCTTTTGTGACGGAATTCTTCATCTCCCTCGTCATTGACCTGATTCATTAATACTATCCCAGAGAAGTGCTTCAGCTAGCCGCCACTTCTCTCCAGAAAGAGCACGCATGTATAAGTGGCCAATGATGGCATTTAGGGCGAAGGCCGCTATGGGAAAAATAAACAATTTGACTTATAGTCCTTGACCCGTGAGTCACGTATCGGAAGATCTTGCTAATCAGCTCTAGAAGGAAGAGCTTGTGCAGCGTAACAGCAGTTCTCTAATGCTCGATTCGAAGAGATCCACTCGAAGATCAAGACCCTCTCTGCTCGACTATCCCATCCGGTATAACGAGCTAAGACGTTGCTATCGCAGTGTCCTGAGGTGATAAGCTGATGACGTTAGAAAGTCCAGCTTCAACTTCGATACGATGAATCAGAGTCGAAAGCGGGATCCATACTACCGTACTTCTGAATCCGAGTGAGGTTCTAGAACGTTGATTAGTGGTGCGTATAACCGGAATGATGCATACCATTTTCTTGAATGTTGAGCTGTCCACCAAAACTTGAGATCCTTTACACTATCTGGAGGGTCTAGGATTAATGAGTGTAGGTAATGACGGGAGTCAGAGTGGCGATGAGGGTTTAGGAGTGGTTATGGGAGTCTCCACTGCACCTTTCCCGGACCATCGACTACCACACGTGGGAACTGACTATACGCCACACCAGACCTAATTTATTCAATTAGCTACATTCAAACAAGTCATTTTTGGGGAAACTTCTTGAACAGGGAGCATGCAGTAGATTTCTGAAAAGAAGAGCCTTGCATGGAACAGACCCTGATCGAGGTTTGCAGAGTTTTGCGAGGAATCTATGACCTCCATACAGTGTGAGGGCAATCATGACTGCGTGGTAAAGCATGCCGGTCAACAAGTCCAAATGGCAATCGATCATTTGAATTCAACCTGCACATATTCATCCACTCATTACCTGCGACTCCGCTCCTTCCCCGCCCCGCCCACCTACATCCCACAACTCCCCACCGTCGCCTCTCCCAGCTCCCCGGCCCAAACTTGCTACACGCCCAGAAGCCGTCGCTGAGGCTCAGCACTTGCGTCAACGAGTCCATTTCTTGTACCGACGTCAACGATATTCTCCAGCCAGCGACTTCTTGTGGTGAAGAGTCAGGTCATGGCAACGATGATGGGCTAGCTGCCCTGCCATCGATATTCTCCAGCCAGCGACTTCTTGTGGTGAAGAGTCAGGTCATGGCAACGATGATGGGCTAGCTGCCCTGCCATCTCTTTCTCGTAATCCATATCCCCTGTATGTCCTTGTCCGATCACTCGCAGACTTCATTGACCCTGCATCGGACGACGACGATACTCATTCTTGGAAGTTTGGCCATCCTCTTCTCTTGTCTCGAAAGTGCAGCAGAGGAAAGGCAGTTTGCTGAATTTGAACCGCCAGCTCGAAGGCTCCGATAGCGATCTCTCCTTGCATTCAGATCTATTCATCGTCGATCACATATCAACATTGATACAGGCTCTTAATGATGTGTCATAGTCTACTATCTCAGTTGAAGTGTTGTCTCACTCGGCATTTGGAGTTTTCTTTAATGATCGCTTCATCGCTGGTCTTATTCTGATTTCGTGGCACATTGGCAGGCCTTGTTCGTTCATAACATGGCCCCTCACAACAGTGACAATAATTCTGTTGCTTCTGTTCTCCTTGGTCTTTGGAGCAATTAGAATCATTGTTTTGAAGAATTCTTGAGTTTGAGCTTCGTTGCTTGTCTAACGAATATGATGAGTAGGGAACCAAATGACAGATCTTCAAGAAATCATTGTCATCTTCCATGTCTTCGTCCAACTTCTCTCTGCGCTATTTTTTTTTCTTGGAGTGAGTTTTGAGCGCAGCACAGAGTATTAGTAGATGGTGGACATACGAAGGTTATTGCCAACTCCAGGCAAATCGATGACTACCTTGATACCGTACTTGATACCGCACTTGCTCAAAACTTCAGGGTCTTCACTTTCTCAAAACACCCGTAACTAGCATTTACGCATGCATTGTCAAGTATGCACACCAGGCCTCGCTGTTCACGTCCTTTGTTGTAGGCCAAATCTTGCTCAGCATTGGTTCTGACGTGACCTGCCTATATCTACTTTTTAACGCCACATCCTCTCAACCATGGAATGTGATCCAGTGCCTCATGAGCGCCATCGATGAATTCACGAAACAGTTGTGTGAAATTACAATGTTTCTAAAGGCAGTGGGAGTTGTAATGTTCATTATGATGTGGTTGGTTGAAATTGATATGCTGTATGGACTTGTTGATAGGGATAGGTTTCAATCTCACTCTCTTCCCAGTGATCATCATCTTGGGCAATGTCCAAATTACACGAGGAAGAGGTACAATGTGATGTTCATCATCCCAAGTATGATCTGGAGTATAGTGGTTGCCGAAGATTGAAACCCAGAGAGGCTGGAAGGGAGCAGTCACGGTGCACATTTACAATGCACTAATTGCATGGATGATGTTGATCACATATAACGTAACTAGAAGGAAAAGAGGCAGCTCATTTTCAAATCAATGTTTGTGTCAAACCTTGTTGGAAGCACTAGCGGTCCCATTCTCAGTTAGACCCAATGGAAAGGAGGAGAATAAGCATGTTTTCGTGAGTCAAGAAGACAAAAATGGGTAAACAACACATACTCTTTACAAGCTATAATAAAAATTAATTTCCCACGTCATTGCTGCCCCAAATCCTGACAAGTTGAAAAGTGCGAAGGATGTATAAGTGACTGTTCTAAACCGTACATGCTACATCTATGCTTCGAGTCAAGTGAATGTCCCATCCCTCAAAACTCGCATCATTTGATGGGAGGTGGTTGGCCGCAAGGCCAGGCGCTGTTCAGCCATAGTCACTGTGGGCATACTGAGATCATCACCCAGGGATTCCTCGTAGCTATCACTAGAACAATCCTTTGCGACCCCGGACAGAATACTTTCCAGCTGAAACAAGATCTCCAACATCCCCTTGTGTTTCTCATTCATATCTCGGACAACTTTGATGAGCTTCTTCCAGACTAGATCATGTGGTCGTCGTCTGCAAAGTTTGACGAAAGTGGACGTCCAGCGACCACTGACCTCAAAGAGCCACCACTGGTGAGATACGATTGCGAAACACACAGTCTCAAAGAACTCGGATTGGAAGATCTTATCGACAATATTGCCTTCAGATAGAGCTTCAGCCAGGTAACCCGGCTCCTGATCCGTCGCAGGATGTAACGACATAGCGCTATCAACAAACGCAAACAAGGACCTCCAGCTATCAACCTGAAGACGACGGTTATCGATATCCCCAATTCGTGCAGCTCGAAGAACAGCTTGGATACCATTGTTTTCTGTGAATGCATAGGCCACAGCCATGGGGCACTCAGTCAGTAACGATCGTAGCAGTCTGACAGACCAGCTTGCGACTCCCTGATGAGAGGATGCAAACAGAGTCTTTACGAGAATCTCGACAAAGGCTGGACAATGACTTGGAGTGAATGGCACTCGGCTTTGATGGAGAAGATGGAGTACGTCTGCTAGAACAGAATCTGGGATGAGACCAACAGTAACACGCTCAGACATCACAAGTTCAAAGAGGCTTGTGCAGGCAGCTTCTTTTAACTCGGCGCTGAAGCAATGAGACTGTGAAATCAAGGGTGAAGCAAGTCGAGCCAATTCCTTTGCCACGATGTTAAGAAGTTCCCCAGCACCAAAGCGTTCCGGGACAGCAGCGATGGTTGTCAGTGCATGGAGCATCACTGTAGAGTGGGTGTTCCGTCGCTGATGCTCGCTTCTGTAATCAAAAGGATCTATGACACCACCATGTGTGAAGGCATACAGGGCCAAACCAGCTGCACTACGAACACCAGAAGTTGGTAAATCCTCTGAAGAGTTGCAGCAAGACAGGCACAGCTCTGATGGTTGTCTTGTCTATAATTGCAATGGGCATCATCACCCACTGAGCTAATCCATCGATCATACTATCTAGAATCCAGATCACTGTACAGTGCGATAGCTGGATATCCCCAGAAACATATTGAGAGATATAAGCAAGTAACTCCCACTGAGCGATGTGAGAGT